AATTCCCGTTATTGGCACTGTACAATGTTTCATTTGTACCGCGAAAAGCTAGATTCTGTTCACCCAAAACTCTTACTAATGCTATTAAACGCTTTAGTATTTGCTGCCAATACTTTTCTTCATTCTTCATCTTGCGCAAAATTTCTGCATCTATTGGTACTATCCCTCTGTAATCGCTGATGTAGTCTTTCCACTTTTGATAAGTTCTGCAAATGTTCAGGACTTTTTCTGCGTGGGAAGAAAGAATTGCCGCCATGTTTTTCCAGTCACTTGAACCTGTATGAGTTAGTGATGATATGCCAATTGCTTTCATACTGAACAGTTTGCAACAGAAACAAAACACTGAGTCTTTTAATACTGAATACAAGAGCCAGCTGCGACATAATTCTTCTCCATTAGGAAGTTTTCTTAAGTAGTGAAATACTGAAAACTTTCAATTGTTCTTATCATTTGGGAAACTGATATCTTTATTTGCTGAGGTCCACGTTCTACAATGATTGCACGTGTATTATGATTTAATTAGTAGAGGCCAAAGTGCTGGATCCTGTGGAATAACATTATCCGTTTTTTTCTTCACTTGCTTGCTGTACATGTTCCTCGAGAGAATTATTCAATTGGCCATTATCTGCATGGGAAACGGGAACTGTTGAGTAAGAAAGTGTTTCACTCATCATCACATTATCATTATCAACAACATTAGATATTTCTTCAGCTTCCATATCAGTGGGAATCTGTCCCACCATTACAATTCTCTTAGTAGAGTCTTGTCGGCATATAAACTTTAGCAATGAACCCTTCTGTTTCTGTTTCTTGTTCCCTCTGCTGTTCAACTTTTCGTTTACGATATTGAGCTCCTGAAGGCTTCTTTCTCTCAGCCATATCTGAAATGTAACAAGAAAAATAATAAAATAAATGAATGTTGCGATGTTTAAACTAATACATTAATAGGTCTTCTGTGATTGGCTCAAGAATAAATTATATATAGCTAGCTATAGTTTCCAACAGGTCTGAACAGCTCTGTAAGGTTTTAACAGGTTATCATTTAACTGTATTATACAAAAAACAACTTGGCAAAGTTATACGTCCTGCTAGTATTTTTTGTGTTTATTTAAACGGAAATGGAAGTTAGCTATATGAATGAGATTTCAATGTGTAATTAGCTGGTGCAGATCAAGACATATTGTAGAAGCGACTCAACAAAAAATTTAACCTGCTAGATGCATTGTGTTTAAATAATTCAAATTTTATTTTGTATAGCAAAGTTATACGTAGGTGAAGTATAATAATAATATAATACTTAATATATAATAGCCCTAGATTTAAGCTAGTTATTATATATTCATATAAAAATATTTTACTTTCTTAATAAGTGTCTAAAACTTAATATAAATGTATAATAGTATATAGAATGTCACTATTCATCTATATGTATATATATATATATATTGTCAGTAAATAAATGTATATAAGAATATAGTCGACTAACTATTGAAAGTTGTTATGAAAATCACTTTGATTGTAAAGACGCCGCCATATTTGTTATGATTTAGATTGCGTTCGGTAAAATGTACGTACATATTGCTCAATGAGCAAAAGCGTTGTTTTTTGTTAGCATATAAAAAAAACTTATCAATTTTTAGCGCCCCTAAACTTTGGCGCCCTAGGCGATTGCCTAGTTCGCCTATAGGGTGCACCGGCCCTGTATATATATAATATATATAAAAATATATATATATAATATAGTATATATATATATATATATATATATATATATATATATATATATATAATAATATATATATATATATACATATATATATATATATATATATATATATATATATATATATATATATATATATATATATATACATACATAAATTACTATTTATTTTAGTGTGACTTGTTTATAGTTTCTAAAATTTTATTGGTTTCATTGAAATTGAAACATAAGCGTTGATTACTATAATTCTAGCTATAGGTATGATGGTATTTTAAAAACAGTTTTTCCTTTTTATGTAAACATTTGCAATGTATCTTTAAAATTTTCTTTATATTATCACATGTTTTATGATGTCAGTATACATTGGCATTTTTGTCTGTGTGTGTATAAATAGTATTTTTTAATTACGCAATAATACAGTATTATTAAAAATGTTTTTAATAATAAAAGTATAATATTGTTTATAATTTAATGTTATATCATTATTCGGTAGTTATTCAAGACTTTCTTTACATTTTTTTTTGTAAATAAAGTTGCTTTTTGTGCCCCGGCAATAGACACAATAACTTTATTTTTTGTTCTTAGTACAGTTAAAGTGTATTTAAATACACGCTTCTTTTTACCTGCCAAAACTTGCAGTTGTTGTAAAAATAGATATGTATCTTTTTTATTCATTAACAGTGTTAAGCCATTTGTTATAACTATTATTTAGTTTAAACATTTGTAAACCACATTTCTTTAGGGTTTTGAAAAGATGCAAAAGTTGGTTTTGCACTT